CCTAAAGACAAAACAGTCTTGAAAAAAGAACAAAAATTGGAAGACTTTCAAAATTTCCTACAAAACCCAAATAATCATGATTATGTAATCCTGGTAAAAAGACAGACAAGATTTAAGGAATAAATTGAGAGTCTATAGAGACAGAAAATAAAAAGGGGAAGGAAAGAAGGAAGGAGGGAAGGAAGGAAGGAAGGAAGGAAGGAAGGAAGGAAGGAAGGAAGGAAGGAAGGAAGGAAAGAAAAAGAGGCCTCTGAGATGGCTCAGCAATTGAAGACATTCGCAGCTAAGCCTTTGACCTGAGTTTGATTCCTGGGACCCACTTGGTGAAAGGAGAGAATCAAGTGCATGTTGTCCTCTGACTTCTCCACACATGCATCATGGCATATGGGCACACACACACACAAATTTGATAAATAAGTTTTAAAAATGAAAGAAAGATGAGGCTGGAGAGATGGCTCAGGAGTTAAGAGCACTGACTGCTCTTGCAGAGGACCCGGGTTCGATTCCCAGCACCCACGTGGCAGCTACAAACCGTCCTTATCTCTGGTTCCAGGGGAATCCGAAGCCCTCTTCTGACCTCCACGGTACTGCACGACACGGGTGTACTCACATACAAGCAATGCAGTCATACACATAAAATAATAATAAATAAAACAAAATGAAAGAGAGAGAAAGGAAAAAGAAAGAAAAGCTATTGATTTTTGTGTGCTGAGTTTCTATCTCGCTATTTTTCTGATAGTTTTTAAACAGTTCTAAGAGTTTTTTGGTGGTATCTTTAAGTTTAAGGTGTTCTGAATATAAGATCATATCACCTGCAAATACAGGTAATTTGACTTCTTTCCTATTTGCATCAGCATTATTTTTTTTTCTTGCCTTATTGCTCAAACTCAAACACGATATTGAATATGCATGGAGAGTTGACCCCTTTGTCTTGTTCCTGATTTTAGAGGGAAAACCTTGAATCTTCCCCGTTCAGTACAAAGGTGGCTACAGGTTTATCATATATAGCCTTTATTATGCTGAGACAGGCTGTGTTACTCCTAGTTTCTTCAGGGCTTTTCTCATGAAGGAATGTTGAACTTTGTTAAAGGCCTTTTCTGCATCTATTGAAGTCATAATGGTATTTCTGTCCTCGCGTCTATTTATGTGCTATATTACATTTGTTGATTTGCATATGTTGAATCACCTTTTCATCCAGTTATTGAAACCAACTTGATCATGGCCTATGACTTTTTAAATGTGTTCTTAATAGTGCTCCTTCCCTTTCTCTACTATGGAGTAGTTTGAGGAACATTGATATTAGATCTTCTTTAAGGTCTGCTAATGAATGCTGGGTTATTCTTGGTTGAGAGACTTTTTAATCACCACTTGAATCTCATTGCGTGTTATGAGTCTGTTTATGCTGTTTATATTCTCTTATTTTGAATTTGTTAGGTTATATGTATCTAGGAATTTACCTCTATTTTCTAAATTTTACAGATTTTACAAAATAGGATTTCAACATATTCTCAAATGATCCTCTGGGTTTCATTGGTGTTTGTTATAATGTCTCCCTTTTCATTTCTAGTTTAATTAATCTGGACCTTTTTGTTGTTGTTGTTAGCTGACTAAGCATTTATGAATCTGTTTGTTTTTCCAGGAAAAGAGCTCTTCATTTCTTTGATTCATTGTATTGTTCCTTTATTCATTTTATTAATTTCTTCTCTGATGGCTATTATTTATTCTCTATTGCTTTTGGATCTGGCTTGTTTTTGTTATCCTAAGACTTCAAAGAGCACAATTAAATTATTTGAGATCTCTCTGAATTTTTTTCTCTATTTCTTTAAAATTTTTTGTGTAAACACGCATAGATGTTAACTTTCCTTTTAAAACTACCTTTGCTCTATCTCAAAGGTTCTATTGTTTGATTTCAGTTATATTTGTTCTCCAGAATTTTTAATTTCTTTTCTAATTTCTCCAAATACTCACTGACTATTCCAGAATGTATTGTTCAATATCCAAATATTTATGTAGTTTTAGTAATTTCTCTTGCTCTTGATATCTAGTTTTATTCCATTATAATCTGATGAGCTACAAGAAATTATTTTTTTTAACTGTTAGACTTGCTTTGTGGTCTAAAATATGATTTATTTATTGGAGAAAATTCCATAGGTTGCTGAGAATATGTATTCTGCAGATATTAAATGAAATATTCTATAGAAATCTGTTGTCTATTTGATACATGGTGCACTTTGATAAGGAATGGGTACTGAAGTCACCCACTATTATCATATCAGGACCTGTATCTTCTTTTATGTCCACTATTATGTCTTTTATGAAATTGTGAGCCTCAGTATTCAGTGTGTATGCATTTAAAATTATGTTTTTATTTCTTTCTTAATATGCAGTGTCTTAATTTATGTTTTCTATCAGATTTAATTTTGAAGTTTAGTTTATGAGTTACCAGAAGAGCTATGTGTTTAAGATTCCTTTAGGAATATTCTGTAATATTGGCCTTGGTGTTCATGAATTGTTTCAGTTTCTACTTGCCCTAGAATGTCTTTATTTCTGTATTAATATAGGCATCTTTGATGGGCAATTATTTACTTTTAACTGAAGTTGGAGACTCTTCTGTTTTATTCTGTTCAAATCGGTGCAGAGCCCAGAGTGGCAGAGGATCAGTTGCTCAGCAGTTCTTCAATCACTTTAAGGACTTTCCTTCTTTCTGTACCAGAAGCTGCTCAGCTTTGCCACCTGTGGGCAAGGCAGATTCTCATTCCAGAGATTCCCCAGTTTGTACATCTTTGGGTTATGTGATGGCTAATCTTGGTTGTCAACCTGACTGCACCTGGAGTTAACTGAAATGAGACAGACTTTCTTGATTGGGTCATTTGAAGTTGGAAGACCCGCCCTAAATGTGGGTGTTATCTTCTGATGGCAGCCATATAAAAGGCTATGGCAGAAGAGAGCTTTTGCTTTTTGCCTGCTTGCCTTCTCTTTGACTGGTGAGTTCCTCTTTTTCCTATGGCATTCCTTCACTGATAGTAGAATCAACTTCTTTGGATTCCAAAGTAGATTGAAGACTAGCAGATCTTCAGGAATCCTCCAGGCCTTCTGTGCCATATTGGGACTACTGAGACATCCAGTCTCATGGTCTGAGCAACTACTGGATTCTCAGCCTTTCCAGAGTGGTGCAGTCATTATTGAACGATTCAGACTCCATCCTGTAAGATAAAAATATCTTATCTTATGTGATATATTTATATCAGTTCTGTTTCTTTAGCGAATCCTAATGCAGGTTGCTAATGCTTAAGCCAAGGGATGTTTTCCAAGTATGCTGGGATGTGGGAAAGCAAGTGGAGCACTGAAATCTGTTACTAGAGGACCCATTTCAGTGTTTCCCAATCCTGATAAGTATTTAGGGAGTGTCAACTGAGCCTGAGTTTCAGATTTCTCAATCCTGTATATGGGAAAACTGCATGGCACAGAGGAAGCTATAGAGTTCTGGTGCCCTGTAGGTTTCTGCTTGGGACTATCAATCTCCACTGAGTCATCTGCCCCTAGGCAAAGAAAGTAGAGTCACTAACACAGTCTGAGCCTCCTGCCACCACCTGAGTTCATCATGTCTGTATCAAGTCCTCACCTGATCCGCAACTGCTATGCAATCCGCTATGCAGCCATCTTGGACCTTGTAGCTTGGCTGGGTGTCCCCATGTTCTTTGACTTGCTATTGTTTCTTGTTTTCAGGCCCCTAGAGTAGCTCAGTCTCATGCAGTATGCCCCCCTTTCAAAATGGTACATGGGCTAGTCCTCTGCAGTGTGGAGAGTGCCAAAGTGGACTTCTCCAATGCTGACTTGTCAGGCAGGAGCCTCTCACACCAAATCCCTAGATGAATGTAAGGCTTGTAAAATCTGTGTATTTGTGCGTGTGTTTGTTTCATAGATAGGACTCTCTCTCTCTCTCTCTCTCTCTCTCTCTCTATATATATATATATATATTTATTTATTTATTTATATATATATATGGGGTATCTGTAAGTCTGTATGTCTGTGTGTCTGTGTGTCTGTGTGCCTGTGTCTGTGCATGCATATCGAGCTCAGAGGAATACTTTGGTTCTCTTTCCACCATGTAGGATCTGAGGATTGAAATCAGGTTTTCAGGCATCTTAACAGCCCCTGATTGTGTCTTTTGAAACCAAGGCTGCCTGGCTTAGACTGTAGAAGAGTCTTTGGTTCCCTTTCCCTGGCTGGGGAGCCTGGTGGACTGGCCTTTATTTTTGCTTGCTTAGCCTTTCCATTTCTCCAGGCTTTTCAACTGTCTATGAACAACTTGTGCTTTCTTATGCTCTTCCACTTTCTCTCTTTGGCATAGGGTCTATTCTGTGTTTTCCTGACTTTTCTCAATTCTGGTGTCACACACATGGAGGCTGCTTCTAATCTGTCATCTTGATACACCCCTTATACAGCCTCAGAAAGAGGATTCTTAAGAAATAATGACTGTAGTGGTGATGCCATCACAGTATGGGTCAGTGTGGGTAACGGCTCACATCACATTTATATCGTCTAACCAAGATTGAATCCAAAGTGTGCTATCTTTCCCCCAAGAAACAGGAAGAGCAATCATTATCTTGAACAGTGATGTAATTACGCAGGTGATATCTCAGTCACATTCCTGCCTTTATGTATCTAAAACAATCCCTTAATTATTCTGAGCAATGGGAATGGGAGTCCTCATGGAGTGGCCTGTAGTACTGGTAGATTTCTTGGCCTTTAACTCTCAGCATTTGTCTCCATGCACTTCCCTGCCCTGTGTTTGAATATAATGCAGATGTGGTAAAAAAAGAAATTGACACTTGATTAGACACAAAACTTGGACTTTAAAAACTAAACTGTACAGCTGAATGCCATCCAGAAACAGGGAAGGCATGCAGCCAAGTTTCCCCAGCTCTTTGTTTCATCACATGATGTTGCTTGGATATTAGTTTATCAACATGCTGAATTTCCACCCCTGCTACATGAATAGAGAACCTTACAAGAAAACTACATTGGGTATGAATGTTTGCTTTTAAAACTAGGGGACCACAATAACAAGGTAAGTTCCTTTCAAGCAAACCTGTCTTTTTGTTTCAGATTTAAGTTAATTTGTAGATTGTTTTCTCCCTGAAGTCTCCAGGCATTTTAATCAAACTTTGTCATGTATGGACCACTTGAATGGGTAAGATTTTTTTCAGTAATACTTCAAGAAAAGCATACATGAACTGTTTCTACAAAAAGAATCACCAGTCATTTCTTATGCTGTTTGAAGATGAAGAAATCATTCCAGCTTTGAAGAATATTTATTCTCTGCTTCACAGATCTGGAAAATGGGAGAAGGGATATTGAAATGATTTGAGTGCAAGAAAGGGTGTAGGTTTCAATCAGAGAGGATATTGGAAGGAGTATGGCTTGATTGGTACAGTTCCTGAGTGCCCACTGAAGTAAAGCAACATTAAATGAAATATTTATAGTTATGAGCTTATATCATGGAAACAGTATACAAAGAGATGCTGGCTCACGTTTCTGTAATAAATTTCACCTGTAGAAGATCTCAGTGTTAGATCTGAGATCTGAATAAATCAGAATCTTCATGTATATTGAAATATTTAAATATGTGTGTGTGGTGCACCTGTGTGCATGCATGCACGGGTATTCATGAGGGGAGGGTGTGAAGAGAAAAAAATGGGCATAAAGTGAGAGTGTCTATACTCATGGTCTCCATAAAGCAAATAAAAGACGAGGCAGGTATTATAATGACCATCATGAAGATGAGGGAGTGGAGGCTTGCAAAGGAGGAAACTCAAGTCTGTTGGGTCTAAAGGCCATGTGGCCACTATTCCAGCTTCTCTTCCCCAGTTAGCTGGTGGTGGAGGTATTGATAGTAATCTGAATAATAAAGGATCTGTGGCTGTATTTGATTTGCTGCGTTCTTACTTTCTGTCATCTGCAGTTTGTTCTGCCAATAAGGAATGAGCAGAGAGGAAAATGCTCAAGTTTCTATTTGCCTTGGCAACCCTACTCCAATATGTCAGTTCTTCTCAGATTGTTAGTTTTTATTACTGTGTACACCTCAAATTCTAAACCCTAGAGCACCAAGAGCAGACATGTAGTCACAGCAGGAGCAACTCCTTCATTCTCTGTCTTTGTGGAAAGAACTCTGACCAAGTTTAACAGCTTATTTTGTAGTTCAATGCTATAAAATCACAGATCTAAATCCACTAGAAGTAGATACACTCTGTGTCTACTCAAAGTTGTGTTTTAAGGAATATTTAAGGACCTGGGAAGCCTCAAGACACATCTATAGTGTGATCATCCTTTTCTAAAATCAAATGCAATGTTCACAAAATAATATGTAAAAGGAAACTAATGAAATGGTACCAATAGTTAAGGATGGATAATCTTATTTTCTCCTCAAATTTTTAAATTTCTCCAAATTCCCAAAGAAATATATGTTGCTTTTAGAGTCAGATAACATTATTCAAAATTAAAAGAAGTCACTGCCGTAGACATGAAATTTTCCAGAAACCACCCATTCCAGATACAGGGAAGCATAAAGACAGGGACTCCAATGACTCTTTCCAACGTGAGGAGGAGGCTATGAAAAGCTGCAGAGCGAATAGACAGCAGAGGTCTAATTGCCTGAAGTATGAGAAAATATTCTTGTTCTTTCAGAAGAAAAACATTTATTTACTTATTTGTTTATTTATTATCTTAGGTCCACCCCTAAAATTGCTTAAACAAAATGAAAATTGAGGGTCTGTTCTGTTTTTCCTTGGAGGTGCAAGATAAAAAATGGAAGGAAACTGGAAAAAGCGAAACAAACCTCAGAATGCTCCACAAATTCCTTGCATTCACATCCCTCCCTCTGCCTCTGCCTCCTCCCTACTGAAGGTATGACATTTTATTCAAAGATAAGGGGACTGTCTCAAAAAGACCAAAAAAAAGATGAGGGGACTGTCTTATTTCTTTTGAGGCTTGAAGTCTTTTACTGATGTCTGTTTAATCTAGCAAAATAAGGGGATGTTTGACCCACAATAAGTGCTTGTTAAAGGGGTGAATGAAAAACTGGGGTAGCCCAATCCTAAACACTTCCAGAGGCCAGAGTCTCATCACCTGTGATGAGAAACTCACTAAGGAGCATCGCCATGGCTTCCTGTCTGAGCTGTCAGCTTCTTTCTGATCAAGTTCATCACAGCCATTGCATAAATGTTCTCTGTAAAAATTCCATTGTCTCCCATCTCTCCAGGGAAAGACAGGCAACAGGGTAAGAATCTTAGAAATGTTATCTGCTTCTCATTTAGGAAGTTTAGAGTTTTACACAGGAAAAGAAGTAGGCATATTTTTTTCTTTATACAATAAAACTATAACTTTCAAGACTTTTATCTGATATAAGGAAAATTCCCATTGTGCTTTGAAGCTTTGTCCTTGAAATTGGCTCGCAATTTTCATATTATCTTGTTCATAATCATTTGAAAGGCTTAATTAGTTATTAGAGAATGTAATCCATTCTCTTCTTCAAATGCATTATCCCTGAACATACCTCATGCAGAAACTGTGAGATTGAATTATGAGGCTCTTGGCTTTGCCACTTTGACAATGGCTTTATTTTGAATATCAAATTTAAGGGCTCTAGATCGGAAAAAAACTGTCTCACAAGATTTTATTCCCTCTATATATAATTTTTGTTTGTTTCTTAGTGTTGTTTTGTTTTTGAAACAGAATCTCACTGTGTTGCCCTGCAGATCAGGCTGGCCTCAACTTTACAGAGATCTGCTCATGTCTCCCTCTTGAGTGTAGGATTAAAGGTGTGACTCACCATGCCTGGCATTTTATATATAGTATCTTTAATTTTTATCAAATGTTTTTAAATTAGCTTTGAAAATTCTGTCATTGTTTTGAACTTTTTTTTTTTTAATCTAGGACAAACCTATTTCAACTTGATTTTTCCAGAATTGAACCCAGAGCTCCATGCATGTTAGGCAAGAACTCTGCCAACTGAGCTGCATTCCCAGATTCTCCATTTAAAAAATATAATTTATTTATTTTTATTTTATGTGTCCAATTGTATTGCCTGCATGTATTTGGGTGCACCCATGTCATTCAATGTCACAGAGGTCAGAAGAAGGTGTCAGATTCCCCTGGAACTGGAGATACAGACAGTTGTTAGCTGTTATGTGGGTGCTGGGACTTGAATCCAGGTCCTCTGCAAGAGCGGTCAGTGCTCTTAACTGCTGAGCCAGCTCTCCAGCCCCCAGATTCTCCATTTTTAAATGAGCATGATAAATTATGTATCTCCAAGGACTGTTATAGTTTAAGAGATGGTACACACAAAGTGTTTAGCACAGCATATAACAAGCATTTCAGATATATTGGATATATAATAGTAATTGAAATCATGCCCTTCTTGTTACTCCCTAACTCTGTAACAGTGGCCTTCTGGATGATCCCCCCCACCAATGCTCTACCTTTCTTCAAACCCATTATTCTCAGCAAGACTTAGTAATCTTTTCCAAAGTGAAAACATGGCCAATTTGTAGTATGGCATTCTGGATTGACAAGGAGTAGAAAGCCACTCTATGTGTTACAGGATGCTGAGCAGTATCTCTGCTCTCTACCCCTTAAGTGGCATTATCCCCTTTTCCCTTCACACTAACTGGGATGAACAAAAATTTTGCTAGGTGACCATTGGGGTCAAAAGTAATCCCTGCCAAGAATTATTGCCTTAAAGAATTTCAATGGATTTCATATAAAAGTTAATCTTCAAAACCCACATAGCATAAAGGTTTCTATCTCCCCTAATTCTACAGCCTTTTTGAAATCAGATTCTGCTCTATACATCCAGACATTTTGTGCCCTTCAGAGAATGTGTACCATTTACCCCCTTTGTCCACATGTAACAGTTTTCTTTTAGTCCAGTGGATTTCAAGTTTTAGCATGTACATGTATGAATCACCTAGAGGGTGTGTAAAAATACAAAGTACTGGGCCCCAGACCCAGAGTTTCTGATTTAGCAAGTCAGGGCCTGAGATTTTTGCCTTTTTCTTTTCTTTTATTGTGGTGCTAGGAATCAAGCCCAGTTTCTCACAAATGGTAGGCAAAAATCTCTACCACTGAGTTATGTCCTTGAAAATTTGCATTTCTAACACATAAGCAGGTGTTGTGGTGCCCTTTGAAAACCTGCATTCTAGTCCCTGGGGACTCTTTACTTTTAAGACTATATGGCAGTCATCTAACTTAAGAAGTATGCCTTGACTCCACAGTTTGCTTATTCTGTTTGGTTTTTCTCCTTCCTTCCTTCCTTCCTTCCTTCCTTAGTAAGTGTACAAAGAATAAATTAACTTTATTAAGTTACTACTTCAGCCCTTACCTCCCTCCCTTCTTCCCTTTTTTTCTTTTGAGACAGGATTTTACTGTGTAGTCCCTCTGGCCTGGAACTCACTGTACAGACCAGGCTGGCCTTGAACTTGAAGTGTTCCTTCTACTCTGATCCCAAGTGCTGGCATGTGCCACCATCTAGTTCCTTCTCCTTTCATAGCGTTCTGTTACTATTGACCTCTTAGCACATTGTGCTTTTAATTGTCTGTCTGTCTCTGTTCCTCACTGCAAACTTTGCACTAAAATCTTACCTGTCTTGGGGCCTGGCATACTGAGCTGTGAGTAGATTCTTATAACCTATTTTTCTCAGAAAAGACCTCAGATCTTGGCAACCCTAATATCTCCCTTAGCTGAAAACTATGACCTACTTACCTAAAATCTTTTACTTACCCATTCCATCATCACACAAAAAAGTAGAGGATTGTTTAAGGGAAACTATCTGATTATTCATTTGTCATGTGATTTAAAATATTCAAGAGAAACATCTTTTTAATTAATGGTTTATTGTTTCAGGAGTTTATATTATTTTTATTTTATGCGTATATTTTATCTGCATGTATTTAAGTGCACCCATGTCTTGCAGTACCCACAGAGACCAGAAGTAGGTGTTAGGTCCCCTGGAACTGGAGCTATGGACAGTTGTTAGCTGTCATGTGGGTGCTGGGAACCAAACCCAGGTCCTCTGCAAGAGCAGCCAGTGGTCTTAACCACTGAGTCATTTCTCCAGCCCCAAGAGAAGCATCTTATTCCTGTGGACACTAGCTTTGAATGTGTCATACTTTTATTTGTGTAGAGATTTATCAAAGTCACCTGCTGTGTTTTGGCAGGACCTAAACCAAGGGCAGCGGCGCTACTTCTACAGCATCATGAGGATTTATGATTCCAGGCCCCAGTGGAAGGCCCTGCAGACCCGCTACATCCACAGCCTTGGGCACCAGCAGCAGCTAGGTGAGTTTAACACCTTATTGGAACCAGGCATGTCTATAAGGGACTTCTGCACTGCAGCCTAAAGTCATGACTCCAGATAATTCAAATCGAATGGCCTCTGCCAATTTATTTTTTCAGCATGGTTGGCTAGCCAAGTGTAAAAATGATTATCCCTGATAATAGACAGCAAAGTTTTATGGGTGAATTAAGAGAGTTTAAAGAAATTAGATTATGGATTTTTATAAAATGTTAAAAAGTCTCTGAGTTTTATAGGAACTCAATCTAATAGATCAATAGTACTGGATTTAGAAAGCCAGCCTAGGTCCAAATGATGGCTCTTCTCCTTACCATTAGTGTAAGATCAAAGGCTTATTTTACTCACAATAATAATAGCTATACTGTTTGAACATTTGGCATAGCCTACATATATCATTCCAAGAGCTTTGGGTACAGTATCTCATTTTCTTCCCACTTTATAGCTGTGGAAAACAAAAGGATAGAGTTTTCCCTCAGAAGTGCCCCAACAGATGTGCCACAACTGTCTTTAAGTGATATCTAAGGTCAATCAAGTTGACAATGAAAATTAACCATCACATTCATTGAAAAACTAAATGCTTCCTGTCCTCAAAGATAATCAGGGTGTGCTACTGACAAAAGTAGAACTTTTGTAAATGTGTATGAATACTTTTGTCTTACAAAACTGTTGATTGGGGTTGTGGGGGGCTAGAGAGATGGCTCAGTGGTTAAGAGCACTGGCTGCTCTTGCAGAAGACCTGGGTTCGGTTCCCAACACCCATATGACAGCTAACAACCGTCCTTAACTCCAGTTCCAGGGAAGCCAACACCGTCTTCTGATTTCTTCGGGCATTGCATGGTACTGGTATGCTTATATGCATTCAGGCAATACACTAATGCACATAAAATAAAAATAATAAATAAAATATTTTTAAAAAACTGTTGACTTTGAGCTGAGTGGGGCATGATGGCATATGCTTTTAATCTCAGTACTTGGGAGGCAAAGGCAGGCAGATCTCTGTGAGTTGGAGGCCACCTGGTCTATCCAGTGAGGTCCAAGCAGCCAGGGATACACAGTGAGACCCTGTCTCAAAATCAAACAAAAAAAAATTGTTGACTTTGAAGTTTCTCTCATTTCTTTTCCCAGGCTATATTACTCAGCAGGAAGCCTTGTCCTGTGCTGCTGTACTTAGCGATTCAACAAGGCAAGCCTCAGCCAAGGGAACTCCTCAAAGGACCATTCCCAGGAAGTCTTCAGCCATAAAAAGATGTCTACCAGCCAAACCAGAGCCTGCAGTTGAACCCAGGGCTCCCAGCACAGCTCACTGAGCATGAGGACCTGAGGCTGTGCATAATTTCTGAAATAGGCAGCTTGTCCATGTATTCCAGGCATCTAGTGTGTGCTTAGTGTATATTTGTGGAATGACAATGAATAAAAGATTACTAATATAAACCCTAGACCTAGGAATGATCTCTCATTCTCCTAAATGTTACCAACAAAGACAAGTTAAAAGATTTGAAACCCTAGACCTAGGAATACTCTCTCATTCACATAAATGTTATCAACAAGAACAAGCTGAAAGATTTGAAAGCTATAGTGCAGAGAGCAAGCAAGTTTTCCACATATAATCTGTAGAATAAAATGACTTTGAAAGCTTTCAAAGTAAAAGCTTCCTAAGAGTTCAAACCTCCCAGAGAAATCTAAAGATCAGTAGAAGGGAGAAAGTGCCAGGCCTTTTATCCCTGGGTGACCAATCCCAACAAGCTGCCCACTGTACCCTGAAAATATAGGAACCAACAGGGTGAACCAACAGGGTTAATGTGGAATACGGAGGTTTCTGGACCCATAGTGTCAGTAACAACTGGCATGTGTCTTTTCATATCTTCTTCTCTACCAAACAGTATCATTCCCCTGGTCCTACAGTTTCTGGTTCTAACCTGACTCAATCACTTTGTGTCATTTTGAAATTTGTACCCATCAGTCTACTACTGCTAGGCTGATTCTACACAGCTGTAACTGGCCTTGACAAGGGTAAGATGATTCATGTACAAACCTGCCCTTGGCAGTAACAAACTCAGCAGAACAGGGAATAGTACCAAAGAATTGATCTCAAGCCCTGTTTCTGAAGATTTTACAATGGCACACACTAGCAAATGAGCAAAAGATGAGATAATAACCAATTAGATAATTTCAAAACTAGCATAGTTTTTAATATATATTTAATAGTTATTTCCATCACTAATGGATCTTTTTATTTACCAAAAATTAGTCAGTAGTAGTCACATACAGCCAAGTTAAAAACTGTCTTTTCCTTACCTTTGTTTTTTAAAAAAAGCTTCATCCCATTCACCTCAGTGACTCTCATCACATGAAGACATCAGTGGAATGGATATAGACTTATGAGGGAAATGTAACATGTCTGAAAGGAGGATGCTTCAATTCCTCCAGACCCCCACCATCAAAACACCCTCATTGATGGTGATCTTCTCTCTGTAGCCAGAAATGTAAAAGATTTTGAAAACCCTCATTATTGGTTCCAAGACTCTACCTCACTTTTCTTTGGTAGGGGAAGGAGCAGAGTTACCACTGGTCTGATGCAAAGCCCTGGGAAACAAATAATGACTTCATGGGATCATTTGCTTAATCATAAGGAAGCTTCTTGACCACAGCAAATCCTGGCACTGACTGACTTGCACCAAGTAGATTACACTTCTACATTAGGAGTTGTTAGATAGCTTTAAAAGAAGAAAAAAACTGAGGCTGGAGAGATGGCTCAGCAGTTAAAAGAACTGACTGCTCTTGCAGAGGACCTGGGTTCAATTTCCAGAACCCACACGGCAGCTGACAACCATTCTTAACTCCAGTTCCAGGGGAATGGACTGTGACACCCTCTTCTGACCTCCTAGGGCATTGCATGACAAGGGTGCACTTACATGCATACAGGCAATACACTCATACAAATAGAATAAAAATAAATAAATTTTAAAAATTAAAAAACAATGAAAGAAGAAAAAAGTCAAGTAGAACCAGGGTAAGCTATGGGCTAACCTTAAAAGAGACAGGATCGTGGTAACCTTAATGGTCTATACTAACCTTCCCTTTGTTTCCACCATGGGTCTTTATCCCTCTGGCCTGCTGATATGCACCTTTGTCTCAGAATTTTGTGTTTTGATGGGCCTAGATATCTTCTGTGTAAGCCTTAGTGAGTGATGCATAGTGGCAAGTTCACCTAGGATTCTGCACCACACCCTGAAAACAGAGATTCTCAGGAGCACTTTGTTTCCAACAGGGGCTTTTACAGGCTGATAGGACGGTGAATGTTATGGACTCATGAAAAGAATAAATGAACCTAGTAGATGTAAGTTGGTGCCGAAGCCCCTATTGCTAGTTCTCCTTTCTCAGAACATAATGCTCTGCCACAGCTAGAGTACCATACTTGAAGCTTGTGAGGATAAGGTGGGTTATGGTGTTAGAATAAAGATGCTCACCCCATGGGACACTGAGAAAGGCAGTCAAGGGGTAGAAAGGACATCTGAGACTTCAGGTAAGTCTACTACTTTGACCTGCTGGAGGCTATGTTGCTCTGTCTCACAATGTCCATCATCAACAGAGGGAGATGTGACCATTTCACTTAAAATCCCCAGGACCTAGAAGAGAGTCTGGACTATGGCAGGCAATCAATTTATTTGTTGAATAATAATGAGGTTTCCAAGAATTCTACAAGTCAGACTGGCCTCTGGCTTTGTGATATTATTCAAGGGTCCCAGGAAGTCACACTACTGGAAGCAGGATATCAAAGGCAAGTGGTAAGAACAGTTCATCCAAGGCACAGCAAAAAGAATTTTCAAACAATAATAAAGCTGAATATAAGTCTGTCTAGTTTTTATTATCACCCTGAACCAGCAGTTCTGAACAATCAATGACAGAATGTATTCCCTGTTCCCTAGTCCTTTCACTTTTAAATCTAAATTCTAAACAACTGCTGAGGTAACTTGAGTTACTTTTTTGTGTGTTAACTATCATATTTTTATTCATAGGAAGTAGTTTGGAGAACTCCTTGTATTACGGTTTGTATATGGCTTGAGTGTGTCCTAATTGTTGTTGTGTGGGGAACTTCATTCAGTCATGTTGGGAGACAGGATTAAACCTTTGCAATGTGGTGCCTCATGGGAGTTATTGGGGACATCACCCCCAGAAGGAATTAATACAGTTCTTGTGAGACCCAGATTAGTTCTTATAAAAGAGCATTTGTATGATAATTTTGATACTTGGCTTATGCCTCTTGTTGAGTGACCTTATTTTAATAAATATTCAAGTATACTTAGAAATTTGTATGTTCTTGGGTTGATGGCTATGGAAGTGAGATCTTATGTCCAATAAATCAAATTTACCAATTGT